CCAGCTCAGAGAGGGGGAGTGGCCTAGGCCTGAGCCAGCCCAGCAACAGCCAGGATTGGTTTGGAAAAGGGGGGCGGAGTTAGCCAGTTGGAGGGAAAGAGAGKYGCTTATTTTGACAGMMRWGTTCWGTTCTGGGTGATGTTAGAGTAGGATTAGAGTTTTAGGAGTCTCTGTTAYGAATAYGCAGCTTGCCTGWAGTTTGCACAGCYAAGRAGGCTGTGGCAGACTGGTTACAGCTATTTRYGAAAAGAAATAGCTGGGATTTGTTTAGGAAATTGTAACAAAGAATAGAGCCATTCTCTCAAGCAACCGCTACGCTTCTAAGAACCAAGAACACTTTAATTGTAATAGCTAAGCCTCTGAACCTGCATTCACTTTTATTCTCTAACTTGTATTCAATAAACAAGTTACAGAATAAAAGTGGGTTCCTGATTATTTGGTTCATGGTGGCAGCGAAGGTTTTAATAAAGAGACATCCCCTCAAACGTTATAAGTGCCAAAGTGGTGTGAATTCCTTATTGAAGGAGGGACAGTGTTGGGATCTGTTTGCCCCCTGTCCAGTGATATTGTTTGGCCATAAAGACTGCCTTTATAATTAGGGGTAGATGGTGGGAATGATCACATTGCCATCTGCCTGGTTATTATAATTGGTGTGGCAGAGGTGGGTTTGCTTTACCCCCTGCCCAAATAGCATAAAGATAGCAAAAGACTGAGGGAAAATAGTATATAAATATCACTATCACCATCTTTCCCCATTGCTCATTCTACAGATGACTGATTGACAATATTTAGCGCGCTATAGTTTCCCCAGCTTAGATTCTCCTTTGTACTCCACTGTTACATCTTTGCCAGTGTTCTTTCCCTCATGCTCTTCATTTTCTCCACTATTTGAATACTCAGATCTCTACTTTTCAAGCCACTATTTATTTTTTTTATTTCTAAGTCCTACTCCACCTTCACATCTCTTATTTCGAAGCATAATGCCTATTGTGCCTCCTAATGAAACTGCTCTTTCATTTCCCTTACCTGACTATCCCTATGAAGTGACATTCTGTTGCTCATGTTTCCATACTGTCTAGTCAAGATGTTTGCAAAAAACCTATGAAATCACAGTAGGCCAGATGAGGCTCACAGCTGAGAAGCAAAATCTGTCTAGATCAGTGGTTCCCAAGCTTTAGTCTTCCATGTGTTTTGGACTTCAACTTCCAGAAATCCCAGACATTTTTCCCACTGTTAGACATTGTCAGAGCAGAAGTCCATAACACCTGGAGGACCAAAGGTTGGGAACCACGACTCTAGATAAAGATAAAGGTAAAGGTTTTCCCCAACATTAAGTCTAGTCATGTCCGACTCTGGGGATTGGTGTTCATCTCCATTTCTAAGCCGAAGAGATGGCATTGTTCGTAGACACCTCCAAGATCATGTGGCTGCATGGAGTGCCATTATCTTCCCACCAGATCATCTCACATTTGCATGTTTTCAAACTGCTAGGTTGGCAGAAGCTGGAGCTAACAGTGGGAGCTCACCCCACTCCCCGGATTTGAACTGGAGACCTTTCTCCAGCAGCTCAGCAGTTTAACTCACTGCACCGCAGGTGGCTGCCTACTCTACCACAACTCCAGATTTTCTTAAAAGAAATCTTTGCAACTGTAGCTTTACTAAAGAAATTTCACTTAACCCATTCACAGAATTACAGTATCCCCAAGCTTTCACAGCATAGAAGTGTAACAGTTAAGTGAACTTACAATGATAATTTGGACACGTCTTTCCTCGCCTGCTAGTATTCAGGGAGCTAGTCCTAACATGATAGCATTTTTCTCTACAATAATGCTTTGAAATGATTCCTGTGGAATCATCCAGGTAAAAAGTATTAGCATCAGAAGCAATCATTCATGTTGGTTTTTGAGAATGAGAGCTACAAACAAGATATTGGAATCCTGGTCTCTGTTGTTCATGCACCTTCCCTAGCAATTGTTGCCAGAATGTTTTCCCCATCGCCTCTGTCACTGAAATTTTTCCAAAAGGACACTTATTGAGGGGGAAATATTATACAAAAAAGGTTTAAGTGAAATCATAGAAAGATATAATGTGTGTGTTTTCCAATAAATTTTAGGTGGCTTTAATCCTACATGTTGTTAATTGCTTTAAATAAGTTATGTATGCATAGCTTACCAAGGTTTTGTACCAGAAGCGACTTGCAGTTTCTCAAATTGCTCCTGACACAACAAAAAAACCAAGGTTTTGTATAGTTTTTAATCTATGCTGGTTTTAATTCGAAAATTGCTTTGAATACTGTTATTTTAAAAAGGTGGTACATATATAAATAAAGTAACAGTACTCTTTACATGTATAGAATCATAGAATCATAGAGTTGGAAGAGACCTCATGGGCCATCCAGTCCAACCCCCTGTCAAGAAGCAGGAATATTGCATTCAAATCACCCCTGACAGATGGCCATCCAGCCTCTGTTTAAAAGCTTCCAAAGAAGGAGCCTCCACCACACTCCGGGGCAGAGAGTTCCACTGCTGAACAGCTCTCACAGTCAGGAAGTTCTTCCTCATGTTCACATGGAATCTCCTCTCTTGTAGTATGTATATTTACATTCACATTTTTCTAAAGTACACATATTTAGGCCCCCTGGTGGTGCAGCGGGTTAAACCACTGAGCTGCTGAACTTGCTGGCCGAATGATTGGCAGTTTGAATCTGGGGAGCGGGGTGAGCTCCCGCTGTTAGTCCCAGCTTCTGCCAACCTAGTAGTTTGAAAACATGCAAATGTGAATAGATCAATAGCACCATGGGAAGGTAACGGTGCTCCATGCAGTCATGCTGGCCACATGACCTTGGAGATGTCTACGAACGTCGGCTCTTCGGCTTAGAAATGGAGATAAGCCGCACTCCCCAGAGTCAGACATGACTAGGCTTAACATCAAGGGAAAACTTTACCTTTACACATATTTAGAATTCTGCTACAAGCTTAACAAGTGACTAGACTTTAGATTGCAGGTTCATGTTAAATTTTGGATGGTGAAAAGTGAGCAATTCTGTCGGGGGTGATTTGAATGCAGTATTCCTACTTCTTAGCAGGGGGTTGGACTGGATGGCCCATGAGGTCTCTTCCAACTCTTTGATTCTATGATTCTATGCAGAGTGGACTGAAACCTCCTGTATTTCTCACCAAGCCATACTCTTCTAAATGCTGATCCATCTCCCTCTATTAAGCTGTTGTTTGCCAGGCCAGAGAGTCTTGGGCACAGTGTCATTATGAGACACACATTTTTTTTCCTAACGGTTACCAGAAAAAGAGAGAGGCACTGCTAGAAAACCAGAGTTTTGCAATAGTAGATTTCAAAATGCAAGATCTCATTGTGGAAATGTCTGTGGGTGAACATTGCTATCCAAAACACCATCGGTATAGAGCATAAAGTTTCATTTACTAGGATGACCATGACTGCAATCTGATGCATAGCTATCAGGAAATGAATGTCATTGACTTGGGTGGTGCTTATTATTATTATTTATGTTTTGTGTATATTGTTTTATATGCTTTGATGTTTTATATTTTACTGTTATGTTGTTTATTTGATTGTAATTTGTATTGTTATATTGTAATTTTTGAGTCCCCTTTGGGGAGATGGTGGCAGGGTACAAATAAAGTTGTTTATTATTATTATTATTATTATTATTATTATTATTATTATTATTTACTGTATTTGTATACTGCCTTTCTCAGCCCGCAGGTGACTCAAGACGGTTTACGGATCTAATTCAATGCCCAGAATACTATAAATACAATTTAAAACATTAACATATAATAAAAAACTAATAAAATCAATAAATAGATTCAGGCTGTGAAGCACATTCAACTGTAAGATATTTCCTCCCTCTAAATTGTAAGCTATATCTTTTAATCAAAAATGCAAACAGACTTTCAAACGAGTATTCTAATGTAAACATCAGCAAAATAGGGACGTATCACTATTTGCAACATAAAGATTGGCCATGGCGGTATCCACCCTGCAGAATTAGAGCAGTTTAACTGCCATGGCTCAGTGCTATGGGATTCTGGAAGTTGTAGTTCTACAAGGTAGTTCTACAAGTTGGGACTGTGCGCAGTGGGACTGTGGCACAGCTGGCTGAGTGTCAGCTGCATTAAGATCACTTCTGACCACAAGGTCATGAGTTCAAAGCCAGCCTGGGTCAAGGTGAGCTTCCAACCAATTGTGTAGCTTGTTATCAACCTTTGCAACCCAAAAGACAGTTGCATCTGTCAAGTAGGAAAATTAGGTACCACCTATGTGTGGGGAGGCTAATTTAACAAAATTTACAAGGCCATAAAAAAAAACTCCAGCAAAGCACTCCAGCAAAAGCTTGTGGGGAATGCAGAAGTACTTCATCGGTGTCACAGATGGACTATGAAAGTGGCCAGCTCCCCTGACGGCCAGAAAAAGTTAAATAGCCTCTGACTGTTTGTCTATATCTGTTGTGTGTCTTTGGCATTGAATGCTTGCCATATATGTGTACATTGTAATCCACCCTGAGTCCCCTGCGGGGTGAGAAGGGCAGAATATAAATACTGTAAACAAACAAACAAATAAGGTCTTTAGCCTTCTCTGCCATGATTTCATAGTTTTGAGCTATGGTACTTGGCTGCAGTACTTGGCTGCAGTTTGGATGGTTCTCTTTCTTGCTCTGGGAGACCATCAGTTATCTCTGTGCTCCAGCACCTCTTGAAATGCTTCAGCTATGGATTTCTGCACCATTGTGGATTAGATTAGATCCTCCCCATGTTCCCTTCAAATTCTACTGTTCTATGATTCTATAAATGACATCACTGCTCCTTCTCTAAGAAATGACTCAAAACTGCATTCCTCTGTATTTCCCCGTCTACTATACCCCTTGGAATAGGTGGACAAGTGCTTTCAGCAATTGTAATGTTGGCCCTAGCCCTGTGCTGCAGTGTAAATACATGTTTTACATTGTTTTTGCTATGTTTTCACAGTTTCTACAACTGGGATAGAAACATCTGCTGCCTTAATTCAAGTCCAAACTATCAAGTGATTGCAGAAAATGTATGCGGCATACTTTTCAAGAACAAAGCAGACAGGAAAATCATTAATGTGGACCCCAAGGTAAATATTTTTACTTTCAATAGTTATGATTCCCCTTTTGTCTAAAGTTCTGAAATAAAGGACATTTCCTATTCACTGAATATATTATGTTATTAACACGATACACTTTGTAATTGCAATTGAAGGAAATGTATTAATGCTAGGCATCACTTGAACAGATGAGGCAGCCTTACATACTGCTCATCTGGATGGCTGCTGCTGGTCTTTAAAGCCTAGTACAGGTTTATTTATTTACAGTATTTATATTCCGCCCTTCTCACCCCGAAGGAGGCTGTGTGCGTATCACAGAGCATACATATACGGCAAACATTCAATGCTATTTATTCACAGACAACACAGACAGTTGTACATAGAAAGAGGTACGTAGGCTTTCCCATCTTTGGTATCTTGGAGGCTTGTGCTCGGTTCTGACCACAGGAGGTGCTATTGCTCCATCTCCCTGCCAATAGCTCTGTTTGTAAACTTTCCTCCTTGCCATTTTTCTGGCATTTCCTTATGGGTGCCTTAAAATACCTCCCACTTTTAAGCGGTACCTATTTATCTACTCACATTTTGCTTTAGAACCACTAGGTAGGCGGAAGCTGGGCTAAAGGTTAGGAGCTCACCCTGACCTTGGTTTTGAACTGTCAACCTTTCGACTGACAAGATTTACTGCAGCTGGTGGTTTAACCTGCTGTACTTAAGCCCATCCTTGTAGCTCATATCTGGAAATCAGAAATGCTCCAAGTGGCTGAGATAGTGACACCTTTGATTTCCGATGGTTTTTTGTGCACACAAACTATGTCACATGCACAAAAATATTTTGCATGAAAAGCAATTTGCTTTTGCCTTCAGCCTATGTGTAAACATTGTATATGAAACATAAACGAATGTCATGTTCAGACTTGAGTCCTACTCCAAGATATCTCATTATGGATTTGCAGATATTCCAAAATCTAAAAAGAATCACAACTCAAAGTCTTTCTGGTTACAAGCATTTTGGAGGAAAAACCACTTGACATATGCTGGCTTTTCAGTCTTTCCATAGTCCCTAATAGAGTCAACTGCTGCTCTATCACAGATATTCTTTTAACTGGAGATGGCGGTACTTTCACTTATAATAATGAAAACTATAATAAAACTTTATTTATATCCCACCCTATCTCCCCAAGGGGACTCAGGGTGATTTCTTAAAGTGTTGCCTGTTTTCATGTTGTTTTCCACCTTTGGGTGACCCTAAGGCATATCTATCACAGGGGATTCTTTTGGAAGATTTATTCAGAGAGGTTTTGCCATTGTTTGCCCTGAGGCAGAGAGAGTATGATTCCATTTGCCCAAGATCACCTAATGGTTTCCATAGACAATTAGGTAGTTTGACCAAGGTCTTTCAGAGCCCTGATTGAGACCTCAAACTACTATAACGTACACTGGCTCTCTTTAAAAAAATTTGAAGGCTTCATAAAACTGAAAAGCTGTATTTTCATTCTGTTTAAGATCAGCACACCCATGATTGCTCCTCAAGAACGATAGCAATGGCCCCAGTTTCATTAAGCATAGTATGTACCTAGAAAACCTTCCCATTTATCCCAGGGCACTTTCTTATGTAATAGTTTAATAATTCTGTGGGGAAACTGGGTGCACCTGTAGTCATAGAGGCAAGAAGCAACATATTCAAATAAGTATTCAAGGTGATAGCAGGAGTAGGCGCCTCTCTCCCTCTAGACGTTTTGGACTCCTGCATTCATCCTCCCAGAGACAGCTTGGCCCATGACCAGGGATTGTGGGAGTGGTCTGAAGTATCTTTGTTGCTTCCTTCGGCTCACTACATGTTTAGGATCACAGTAGCAAGCTTTGTTTTCCTCTGTTTTCCATGCTATATCATGGCACTGAGCCAGCAAATAGTACTGTATATACTCGAGTATAAGCCTAGCTTTCAGCCCCTTTTTAGGCTGAAAAAGCTCCCCTCGGCTTATCTCGAGTCAAGGTTATTTATTATTTTACTCTATTATTATTATTATTATTATTATTATTATTATTATTATTATTACATTTATAGGTTAACTTTATTATTTCGAACATCTAGAGAGGCTCTGCTCTCGATCCCACCTGCATCGCAGGCGTGTTTGGTGGGGACGAGGGACAGGGCCTTCTCTGTGGTGGCCCCCCAACTCTGGAACTCTCTCCCCAAGGACATCAGACAAGCCCCAACGATGGCTGTCTTTAGGAAGAGCCTGAAGACCTGGCTGTTCCAGTGTGCCTTTTCAGAATAGGAAACTCCTGGTTTTAAACCCAATTGCACTTTACTAGAGACTCAGGATTACCTGCACATTGCACCTACCTCCATATACCTCTACATATTACCTGTCAAGTTCAGCATTTTAATTTTGTCCATTACATTTGGCCCGGCCTTTGGTTTTAATTATGTCACGGTGTCATTGTTTTACTGTTTTATTGTTTTGCTTGATGTTTATTATTTGCTTTTGAGTTTATTGTGTATTGTATGTCGTTGATTGTTGGCGCTTTGGCCTTTGTAAGCCGCATTGAGTCCTACGGGAGATTTTGCGGGGTATAAATAAAGATAATAATAATAATAATAATAATAATAATAATAATAATAATAATAACATTTATTATTTTACTCTATTATTATTGGAAGGCTACCTAAACACATGTACATTGAAGAAGGTTAGAATAATGTTTTTTTCAGAGTTGGGCAGTCTTATCTTACAGTTTTATGTAAATATTAATAAACATTTAACCTACTGATGCTTCAATTAATATAATTTTATTGGTATCTATTTTTATTTTGAAATTGACCAGTAGCTGCTGCATTTCCCACCCTCAGCTTATACTCGAATCAATACCTTTTCCCAGTTTTTAGTGGTACAATTAGGTGCCTCGGCTTATATTTGGGTCGGCTTATACTCCAGTATATACAGTACTTCTTTTTAAAAATTAGATATATTCAATGAAGTTGCTCACTTGTACCAAATTCATTTGTCCCAGCCATTAGGTAATGGGTGGGGAGGGAGAAAAGATTTTCGATGAAGTCAGTACAGATCAGAATGTGGATTAAGAGATCTCGTGGGTCTGTGTGGACTCCATGAGAACTTGCTGCCCATTCTGTGTAAGCACTCTGAAGCACTCTGGATCTCTTAAATCCACATTCTGCTCCAGATTACATGGCTGTGTGGAAGCAGTCTATAGCATAGGAGAGGTGAGTGGGGAATTATTCCATTATGGTTTTGTATACAAACTCACCAGATATATATCTGATTGACTTCTAAATTAATTTTATATGTGTGCCAAATCCATACTTTTCAGGCCGCTTCTACACTGTCATACAGAATCCAGATTACCTGCTTTGAACTGGATTATCTGGCAATGTAGACTCATATAATCCAGTTCAAAGCAGATAATGTAGATTATCTGCTTTGATAATCTGGATTATATGGCAGTGTTTAAGGAACCTCAGAATGTTGTAATTTGGTTTGCAGCACACACAAAATTGAACAAAAAGGCAAATATTTTTTAAAAAATACAATCAAAAGAACATTTTAGTCAGCCCTCCATATCCACGGATTCTGCATTCATTGATTCAAACATCCAGGGTAAATACTTGCAAATAGTGAGTACACTAGGGCTGGATCTGCACTGCCATATAATCCAGATTATCAAAGCAGGTAAACCACATTATGTGCTTTGAATTACACTGCCATATAATTCAGTTCTGGATTTCATATGGCAATGTAGAAGGGGCCTAGGAAAACTCCATGCTAAGGGAATTATTAGAGAAAGTCCACTTACACAATCATGTGAGTTTTTAATGTTCATTTTTGTGAGGAAATCGATGGAGGGGTAGATACCATATTCACAAACAGATACTAATGCAAATCACAACAAATGTCCAGATGAGGAAAAAAGAGAGAGCCAGTTCAATCTTAATTTGTAAACATATCCATGCCATAAATAAAATGATTAGGTATTGAAAGCCATGTTTAGTTTGGCCATTAATCTGGTTGCAGTTTTGTAATCTGTTTTGCAATCAAAAGTAGAAAGTGATGTTACATAATTGATAAAGGTACCAAGGAGTCTAAAGATAATAGAGGAGTCATCATTTCTAGAGTTGCTTCCTTCACTATCTTGCGTAATTATCAGAACCTACTATGAGCAAAGAGAACAACTCTTACATTCAGCATGTTGTTGTTGTTCATTCGTTCAGTCGTCTCCGACTCTTCGTGACCTCATGGACCAGCCCACGCCAGAGCTCCCTGTCGGCTGCCACCACCCCCAGCTCCTTCAAGGTCAAGCCAGTCACTTCAAGGATACCATCCATTCATCTTGCCCTTGGTCGGCCCCTCTTCCTTTTGCCTTCCACTTTCCCCAGCATAATTGTCTTTCAGGCTTTCCTGTCTCCTCATGATGTGGCCAAAGTACTTCAACTTTGTCTCTAGTATCTTTCCCTCCAGTGAGCAGTCGGGCTTTATTTCCTGGAGGATGGACTGGTTGGATCTTCTCGCAGTCCAAGGCACTCTCAGAACTTTCCTCCAACACCACACCTCAAAAGCATCGATCTTCCTTCGCTCAGCCTTCCCTAAGGTCCAGCTCTCACATCCGTAGGTTACTACAGGGAATACCATGGCTTTGACTAGGCGGATCTTTGTTGCCAGTCTGATGTCTCTACTCTTTACTATTTTGTCGAGATTGGACATTGCTCTCCTCCCAAGAAGTAAGCGTCTTCTGATTTCCTGGCACAGTCTGCATCTGCAGTAATCTTTGCACCTAGAAATACAAAGTCTGTCACGGCCTCCACATTTTCTCCCTCTATTTTCCAGTTGTCAATCATTCTTGTTGCCATAATCTTGGTTTTTTTGATGTTTAGCTGCAACCCGGCTTTTGCGCTTTCTTCTTTCACCTTTATTAGAAGGCTCCTCAGCTCCTCCTCGCTTTCGGCCATCAGAGTGGTGTCATCTGCATATCTGAGGTTGTTAATGTTTCTTCCAGCAATTTTCACCCCAGCT